AAAGGGAAAGATATAAGAATGTAATTTGTGTGTGAAGTTTTTCTTTATTTCTGATTAATACCATTTAATCACTGCCAAAGAACTGATAATTTGAGACCCCATAAAGAAGTGTATTTATGTAAAAATTATAAGTTTGATATTTCTTATTACTATGTTCTTAAAAGGATTAGAAGGGCAGTTGGGCTGGAAACAGTCATATCTGTTCCATTCTTATGCAGGACATTATGCCATATCCTTGACTTCAGGAAGAACATGACAAAACACAAGATGAGGTTGGTACCGAAGGTTCCTATACTCCAGCAGAATTTCCATGACTGAACAGAATCGGGAGAGACAGAGTATTCTGATGACAACATGATACTGCTTTCAGGGACTGGACAATTTTTCTCCTAATGCATGTGCCTGCATGTGAAACATTCTATCCCCCATGACTAAGCATCAGATTTTTGATTATGTCAAAAAGTGTATTTCCTTGTATGTATGAGGAATAAGATGATAGGATAAATCATTCATATGGAAGCATTGAACAAGGTCAGACAGAAATGAGTAATGAAAAAGAAAACCATATGAGTGAAAATTTCTGGATTAGAAGGAGGAAAAATTGGAAGCAAAAATTATAGATTGTGAATCGGTTCCTTGAATATGAATTTGCTGAAAAAATATTTTAATATGGTAGCAGTTACATCTGAGTTGAGTGGCGAAAAGTTAATATCTCAATTTATAAACTTCAAGAGGCATCATCCTGAAAGTTATTTAATACCTTCTCTCAGTAGCATGCAGAAGTGGGGGAAGAGAGTAAGTCAACTCTATTTCAGGATAGCATTTAATCAAAAAGTGAAATAAAAATTTAGTTTATATTTAATTCAAATAAAGTGTTTGTTTCATGTTTCATCTGTTTTTACATATTTAAAATGTCTTCCTTTCTAACATTTCTCAGTACAAGGCCCTATATATCCTCCTACTTGAGTTTTAGGGGGACATATAATCAAGTAGTTGGACATGGGCATCACCATACATCACCAAACCTCTGTACCCCACTGTCTGCTTTACAACTTTGTTTTTTTTTTCTTTATAGAAAACTGTATGAAACTTTATATTGATGTTATGGCTTTGCATTTTATTTAATTTCTTGTATTTCTTTATTTAGTTCATTTATATGACTTTATTTTAGCTGCTCAAATGTCAGTTAAATATACAAACAAACCTCTCAACAGCGGACTAATAGTGAGGAGGGGTAGTCTGTTAAAGCTAATTATCTGTAGATGGGAAGATATTTTTGAGTTATAAAACCACTATAGTAACTACCGGTAGTTATGATCATAATATGAATACTATAAACATGTGTATATGGCATAAATATTAATATGCAGACTAACTGTGTGTGTGTGTGTGTGTGTGTGTGTGTGTGTGTGTGTGTGTGTGTGTGTATATATATATATATATATATATATATATATATATATATATACATATAAAGTGGAGTAATGGATATTCTACTTTTTGAGGAATCGGAGATATTGGAGTTCAAATTTGGAGTTGAATCCATTAAATTCACTTAAAATGCTCATACCCTTGGGAAAGGTGTGAATCCTCTTCTTCTCTCTCCAGCTATGGATAAATAGCAGGACAGACTAGGTTCTATAGCCTTGGATAACAACTGGTCTAGGAGAAAGAGAACTCTGAATTCAAAACCTGCGGAGGTTCGTTTGGCGACCTTGTGGCACTTAGTGCACCAGGTCTCTGTATTCGGCCTTTCAAAAAGTGTGGATAGTCCTGCACGAAACCTTCACCACTATAATCAAATCTCATGTGCTGTTGTTGAGCCGTTGGTTTCCTAGGAACTGATCTGCTTGATCCTCATACATCAAATTCGATGGGAGAGTCGAGTATATATATATATATATATATATATATATATATATACATACTATACACACACATATTTTAGCAAGCAAAACTCCAGTCTCTCACCTCTTAAGAAGCTCTAATCTGTCACTGATACTTAGGTGTATATGCTTCCTTTTTACACTTTCCTTCTTCATCAATGTCATGACAAGAGCAGAACAATTAATATATTAAACAAAATAACAAAAATAATAGATTTCTCAAAGCTAGGCCACAAAAATCTCCCGAGCCGACCAAGCATAGAAATAAATACAATATGGGAACCAGTAATAAGGAGTGCCAAAGAAAAGCAATGATAACAAAGTTGTAATATGAACTCTGGTAAAGACATGCAATGATAACAGCAAAATTGCAATATGAGCACTGGTAAAAAATGATGCTGAAAACATTAGGTTTATAATACTCAGAAGTTCATACCCAGATGTCCTCAAGGACACATGGCACAGTGGATAAAGGCATTAGTTAGATCCAGTGACAGACCCAAAGAAGGTGAGTTCAATACCTGGTTAAGGCAGTGGAGAACTTTCAGAGGGAAAATTAGCAGGAGATAACTGATAACTGACATCCATCAAACATGGCACGGGGAACTAGAACAGTCTACCCCAGTGATCGAAATAAAGGGTTCAGTTTGAAATTCCAACCACCTGAAGAAGGCCGGAGCGTACAACAGCCAAAACGTTGTGACAAATATGGCGAAAAAGATGAGGACAATAGTCCAACTAATGTAAATACTGTTCTCAAAGCCACTTCCTCACACATGTGCTAATGTGTCATACTTTTCATTTTTGTTTACAACTGTCATACTTTTCATTTTTGTTACAACTGAAAGGCCAACCACTGCCACTAATACAACTCATTCCACTAAGCCTGCAAATTTTCAAATAAATTGCTGACTAGTTTTTTCCTGAAGATTAGTTTTTATTTTGCTTGCATATTTTTATTTTGTCCATTGCATCTGAAGTCCATTGATGGGAGGTGGGGTATGTAGATGAGAGATGAGAGATTTTGTCTGTATATTTAAAAGTAGCATTATTCCAATTACGTGATTTTGCACATATGAGTATGTGTGTGCATGTGTATTTAGGCAGCACTGTTTCATCAATGCAAGTTTGACAGAATTTTGAATGTGTGAAGACTAAAGAGTACCAATAAAACTTCATGGATTCTGATAATGGCCAGAAGCATGCCTGAAAATACTAGATCACATCCAACTTGACAATATTTGTAGTCATTGTATCCAGAACCATTTTTCTCTTGTGCAAAAATGAGAAAAGTTAACTAAAAACTAAGAGAAATCCTTGTCTATCATTTTTAATCAAACTTGTTTTAATATAAAAGTTTAAACATATTGAACAGAGCAAACAAGGAAACGCAACAGTTATGCCTTTTGGTGAGTGTTTTCTGGTGTCAAAGAAATTGTAATGTTTGATCATTAGTCAATTTCAACTAATGAATAGAAGTTGTGAGATAGACATTGGAGCTTTTATGCTTTTAACAACCAAGAGACCGAAGTGAACGTAGGTTCACATGCTAAGATGGTGGAATAGATTATAACATCGTATGACTAAAATGACATTTTAATATAAGTATACTGGGATTAAAACACATTTTTGCTGTCATTTGATGTGAAGAGGCTCTAAACCGTTTAATGTTCTTTTTTTTTTTCAGTTTAATTGGCAATATGTTCCCATATTGTTAACAAACTAACATCAAACACCAAAAGAATATCACCAAATAGATTGGACTGTAGCATCCCGCTACCACTTTCTTATCAATTTTGTACAATTTTGTGCAAAAGGTGGATCAGAGAGCCTACTCAGCTTAGTAAATATTTTCAGGAAATATCAGCTTCTAATTGGTCAATAAACTCACAAGTGGGCATTGCAATCCACCCACATACAAATATTTTTCCAGCACATGACCAAGTCAAGTTTTCCTGCCATTTTCTGTGAGCCTGTCACGTGATTATAAATAATAATAAATAATTATAAATAGCAGACACAAGCTTGCTTCTTTCTCTCTTCTTCTCTACTCTTCCCTTCTGTGAAGATGTGACCTTAAGGATTCTCATCTCAACCATAGGCGGTCAGACGTTAAAATCATATTCACGCATACTCATACGTACAAACTTTTCCAGCCTACATTACAAACATACAGAACATTTCCAAACATGCAACAGAACTTTAACTTCTACGCATGTACATCAATACACAAAATAAATATAAACGTTATTGTTTTAAAACCATTTTGTTCTTTCTTCTATCTCATGTTTAGTGGTATTTTACATCAAATATAAATTGTTTGGTCATGTTATTCATGCAGCCATAAACAGACATCTACAAATGGTCCATTCATATTAACATACTACTACATATGGTAACCCTGACATTTGACATGGGACAAGAAAAACAAATAGACCACTACAAGATATTCTTTGTCTGTTCTATTTAATAAAATATATGTCTATATTTCTGAGATGAGATATTGTAACTATTTACACCATTTACATTATTCAGACTGTTGTTCTCATCTTTATTGTGATATTCATGATGTTTCAGCCATTGTACCTTCCAGCCTTCTTCAGGTGATATATGTTGGAATTCCAAACTGAACCCTTTATTTAGTCCACGGGGGTAGATTTTACATGTGCCATTTTCTGGATATCTCAGTTTCAGTTATCTCCCCTTAGTAACTCAATTCTTTGTTCACTTCTGCTGTAACAAGATATTGAACTCACAGCTCTTTGGGTTAAGTCATTGGATTATTCAACTAATGCTTTTATCCAAAACGTTGTGAATATGACAATAAAGATGAGGACAACAGTCTGAATAACATAAATATACACTATTTATGTTATTCGGACTGTTGTCCTCATCTTTATTGAATTACAAAAAAAAAAATATTTAAATGAAAGACTGATGCCTAAATATACAATGTTTAAAGCATATTTATAAGCAAACATGCATGTATCTATTTCTTACTTGCCAAATAATTCAGAATGAACTGTAAATATCATAAACAAGTGTAGAAGACTGTCTCTTTAATCTAAACTCTCTTCACAATGATAAGAAAAGGAAATCAATACTGAATCTTACTTATCTAAGGAGAACAATGTCCAGAGTTGTCTCTTGCTAATTTCCTTTGCACTTCCCTGTCCATGAATATCCGTGATAATGAAGGAAGGGAAAACTCCATTCATCAGAAGGTGGCACAAATGTTTTGGCTCCAGTAAATTTGGATTTTTCACATGATCTGCAAGGCAAAGAGAAACTGCATTAAGCACAAATTATTATGTATTGAAAAAAGATGTAAATATGAGGTGAGCAACAGGTTCAGAGATCAAAAGAAATAAATGAATAGAAATAACCAAAAAGAAATTGGCCCAGTTTTGAACGTCAAAAAATGCTGGATATGAACTTTAGACTCAGGGATTTTCATCTATTTTAGGCATGACAAATAACAGAGTCATGTACAGTAGAGATGGATGAAACTTTGACACAAGATTTATTATTAACAAGAGGCTTTTCAACTTAATTCTTCATATAAGTCAAGTTTTTGTAAGTTAAAGAACCAATGGAAAAAAGGATAAAGTTTGTCTTCTTTCAAATTTAGGTTTGAAAGGAGAAATAAATTTATGAATGCTCAGTTTGTGAAACTAGAGAATGTAAAGACAGATTGTATAAGAACAAAAAGTTATGCTTCAGTTGTTTCCATTCCACACAAAAGCCAAAAGATAAATGTCACATTTTCTCCATCAAAAATGAAGATTATCCAAGCTTGGTAAGTGAGAAAATGGCGAATTGATCATGCTCTTTTTCTGTTTCTGCTAGCAAAAATATTGATTGTTGATGAGGAATCGTATTGATCATGGGTGCCATTTTACACACTGAGCATATTGATTATTGGTAATCATTTTCTTGTAAACAATGCAAAAGTTTTGTTCCAAGTAGTTTCAATTTTTAACTCTTATAATCCTAATGACATCTCTTGGCCTTGGGCAGTCTCTTTGTGACTGAAGCAGTCAGGGATTTGCTTGTGGGCCCTTGCTATAGATTGTGATACTTTTATCTAAACCGGTATGGTTGTGGATTACAACTTCTGTTTGTATTAAGCCTGTTATCAGCTGTGAATCATTATAATTGGATCCTGCATCTGATAAAATATCAGCATCATTTTCCATTCTGATTCCAAATGTATCATTCCAAGACTCTTCATCTGAAACAAGATCTTTAATACTTAGATTTTCATTTTTTTTCTAAAGAATAGTTACAAAAATAACCCCCTCTACTAATGATTTTCTTGAAAGACTTAAACAGAAAATATTATAAGTTAAAAAACATGTTGCAAAATCTTTAGTAATAAATGCTTAAAGGTTGCCAAAGGTAACTCTTAAGTTCAATGTAAAATCACTGCCTATATAGAGAATTTATGATCATTTGCTAATAAATAGATGAGAACAAACTCTGTAATTAACTAAACTCAAACTACTTTTAAAATTTAAAGTCAACTTCACTTGTACACCTACTATTCCCTAATCAACAGGAGTCTAGTTTTAAATGATTTTGTTAATAAAGGGTGGAAATCTTCATTCTGGAAGAAGAAAAGGACAACATGAAAGATTAACAATTTTTCGCTCAAAATAATAACTGATTTTATTAAAAATTTATTACTAAAAGTTTTTCTTAAAGAAAATAATATTATTAAAATAGAATCATTGTTTTATGTCACAGTTAATCATCTTTACTTTGTTTCTTTTCTCTTTCAATGCTTCAGACAAACAAAAAATCAGATCACTATTTTCAGAAGGAGTGAAAATAAAGACCCCACATTATTAAGTTAGAAATTGAACTGGAAATTGGTTCAGTCTTCAAGTTTCAGCATTTTAAAGGTATTGCCTTATCAAAATCCTCACTAAGTCATGTCACTTTTGATGTGTTAAACAAATATATCAACAAAAAGAAATCAGACTATGATTCAGACAAAAATAAACCAGATGCATTGATATGGGGTTAATGAAGCATATTTGTCATACATTTGCATAAAGTTTTAATTAATAAATAAATTATACATTCTGTGTAGGCATCTTAAAACTCAAAATGAGGAAAGAACACTTTCATTTCAAACTAATGTTTGAATACATCAATAGAATCTCAGTCATGCTGGCAGACACTTTTTGTTTTTATTATAGAAGTATGACAAAACTAACTTTATTGCGCAATATCCCATTTTTGGAATTAAGGAATTATTTACAGAAACATAAAATTAATAGCAGACTTTAGAAACCTATGATGCTGAATTTTTATTTTTAGATTTTACAATGGACTTTAATGGTTTATTATTATTTCATAAGAAAAGAAATACAGAGAATATTAACAGTTGCACTGTTAAGAACTGTTCCTATATAATTAAACCCATAAACAATATTCTTGCCAAGGATGGTTAATGTTTCTCATGACATAAAGTCCCTCTTTATTAATTTCTCAAGAAAATGGCAGACAAAACACTGGATCAAACTGATACAGAAAACAAGATCAAAACATGCAATTTGCAATTGCTGCAACAATTTATCATTGTAAGCAGCCTTCTTTAAACCAGTTTCCTGTTCTTTGTTGTTTTTTTACATTGCAGTCATGTCGGCTTGCAGCCATTTTTGAGTGTTATGATTCCAGAATAATGTTGAATTGTACTTTGTTGGACACACATGCTTCTCCCCCTTCCTTTCTATGTGTGTTAAACATGGGTTTTGTAACCCTGAATTCCTGGGGCTATACTCTTCTGATACAAAAAAAAAAATGCAGTAATGTAGAAAAAAGAAAAAAAAAGATATATGTAGGAGAAATGAGCCTGACACCTAAAGTAAGATTCTCTAACATTCATAAACAGAACAGAAAATAAAAGAAAGGCCGTAAAGGGTCGAAATGGTCTGAAAAAGCAAACTAAAAAGACAAAGAAATCATTGCTAAGAAAAGCACACACAATAATAAAAAAATATCCTGTTTAACAATTCAGAGAAAAACAGTTTCCATTTTGACAAAAAGTTCTACTTACAAAGGAAAAGGGACAGCTCACTCCCATTTAAGTTTTCTTACCTAATTTCATCCTGACCAATTATTTACACTGTTTACATTCAGACGATTATCCTTATCTTTATTGTTGTTATAGCAATGTTTCGATCTTTGTGCCCTATATATATCCTTGGTTTGCTATTTTCTTCACTACAATTTGGTAAATGCATTCCTTGGCCTTCTTTGTATTGCCTGATACTGTCTTAGGTGAAGCATTGTGTGATTCAAGAGGAAAAATGGAACAAATCAAAAAATGAAGTTTTAGAATTAAAATTATTAACATAAGTTAACTTGGGTCTGGAATTAAGGTGTTATTACCATTATATAACCATCTAAAATCAAGCTATGCTCATCACGCACCTACTTCTACTTTACAGACTGGCTAATGGGTTTGTATTTGATGTAATGGAATAACCTGTCACCCCCATGAGTGACTACACTATAGGTAGTAACTATCTATAAGTATCTGTAAGTCAACAGACTACAGAGACTAGTTGAGATCTGTTGAGTATGACTCAGACATGCAAGAACTACCGGCCTTCCAGTAGTAGCACTCACTACTGGATTGACTTGCAATGACCTTGTGCATAACTGTTACCTTTATTCTTATTGTACTGGTTTTTTTTACAATAAACCTTTACTTATTTTATCCACCTTGTTTTTCAAGTATATATTCCTATTAGCATGATATATAACAGTATTAATATCAAGAATGATGTCTTTTATGATCTATGAAGTGATGAAAAAATACAGTCAAGTCATAAAGTAAACAAAAATAACATTTTAGTTAAGATTCCTTTTTAGCCTTTGTACAGCTATAAGTTATGAAAAGAATAGTAGTTTTAATTAGAAAAAAAACAGTTCATTCATCCAGTCATCATCACCTTTGAAACGAGGAATGGTTATTAATGAGCACTGACACCAACATATTCAGAAAAAGCAAATCGCTTTCCAGGTTTCCCTGAAAGTGCTTTTGTCATTCACGTGTCAAACATATCCTTTAAATTTCTGTGTAACATGAACTGAGAACAAAATCAATTTCTGTCTGAAGTTGCCAAACTAACTGGAGAGGATCTCCATCATGCCAGGCTGATGTAATGCCAAATTCTTTCAGGAACATTCCTTCCTGCAAGCAATGTATTTTGTAGGACATAATCTTGTTATACTCAAGCAACATATAAGCATGCATAGATATAAAGAAAAAGCAACAGCAGTTTCTTCCAACATATTTTTTTCATCACTGTGCAACATAATGCAACCCCAAACTACAGCATCATGCATGAAAATAATATGCAACATTTTCCAAAGGAGATAGAATGATATGCAGTCTCCAGAACAGCATTTTGCTTTACCTCTTTCTATGCAGTATCTGTCTATATTTCTGAGATGAGGTATTATGTACACTATTTACATTATTCAAACTATTGCCCTCATCTTTGTCACCATATTTATTACAACGTTTATGCCGTTTTACACTCCGGCCTTCTTCAGGTGGTTGGAATGTCAAACTTAATCCTTTATTTTGCTCACTGGGGTAAACTGTTCTAGTTCCACGTGTCATGTCTAATGGATGTCAGTTATCAGTTATCTCCTCTTAATTACTCTCTCCAAGTTCTCCACCACCTTAACCAGGTATTGAAATCACACTCTTTGGGTCCTGTCACTGGATCTAACTAACGCCTTTATCCACTGTGCCATGTGTCCTTTCTATGCATCTCTTATGTTGTAGTTGAGAGGAGATAGTGCCTAAAAAATTTGATGTTGGCTTCGAAAAACAAACCAGAAAGCAGAACATTAAAAATGTTTGAAGTCTGCAAGATGTAGGAAAAAGAAAAAAGTAGCAAACACAAAAGCAAGTGGAAGAAAAGAGAGAAAAGAATTAAGGAGAGTTAGTGACATAATTTTCATTCTTTCATGAATAATTCAAACTAATATCTTTGCCGTATCAGTCACTACCTTTCAGTTGGTGGGCTCTTTTGCCTCCCTTATTGACTGCAGTTCTAAGATTAAGTATTAATATCATATAAATAATTCAAACCTGCACCCTCATCACTATTTTGATTATGACATTTCAGTTCATGTATTCTCTAACCTGGCTAATTTTCTGAAGTCCCAAGAAGATGCACTTCAAGCATCAATCAATAAGAACAATATCCTCATACCTGTTTTTCTGTTCAATGTATTTTG